GTAGAATAGTTTTCTTTTGAATTGTGGGGAGTTATGGGTTGTTGGAGTTGTTTATTGGAGGTTCTTGGTTTGTTTGGCTTCTACAGGCCTGTGGCTGTCTCTTATACACATCTAGATGTGTATAAGAGACAGGCGCTCCCCCGTTCTTCTGTAGATCGACCTTCGACCTTCATCCCCTCCCCCCAAACAGCTTCCGCTCCACCCTCCCCCGTTCTTGCCCTCCCCCGTTCTTCTCTAGACATAAGACCTGGACTTGGATAGATGCCAAGGGGTTCCCTTATTAGGGTTTGCGTAAACTTGGGAAGGAAAAACGCCAAGGTTTCCTTTTTAGGGTTTGAGTAAGACCCCCTTGGCCGTCAAAGCGGCCATGAGGTCGTCGAAAGACTTTGCGAAAGACGCGACTCCCTCCCGCTCCAGCTGGTCGGCCACTTCCGCGAGCGAGATCCCGACTCGTTCGACCGCTTGGATGACCGCCTGAGCGCCCGCCACGTCAGCATCGATAGTTCGCTTGATGGCCCCGTGATCGTAGAACGCCTTCAAGGTGGCATCGGGAAGAGTATTGACTGTATGTGGACCAATCAACGTGTCCACGTACAGGGTATCTGGATAAGCCTCGTTCTTGACGCCCGTGGAAGCCCAGAGGGGGCGCTGCACGCGCGCGCCGCGCGCAGCGAGCGCCTGCCAGCGCGGCTCCGCGCACTTCTTCTTGAACAAGTCGTACGCCAACTGCGCTTGCGCGACCGCCGTTTTCCCGCGCAGCGACAACGCCTCCGGCGTCCCGATCGCGTCCAGACGCTTGTCCACTTCGCTATCGACGCGGCTGACGAAGAACGACGCGACGGAGGACAACTTCGACAGGTCATCATCGCCTTTGTAAGCCTCCAGACCTGCCACGTAAGCATCGAACACCTCCTCATACCGCTCGATGGAGAAGATCAAGGTCACGTTGACACTGATGCCCTCGGAGATGACCTGGGAAATGGCGGGAATTCCAGCCTTGGTGGCGGGAATCTTGATGTACACGTTAGGTCGATCGACGGCCTTGTGCAAAAGGCGCGCGTTCTCGACAGTTCCCTGCGTGTCGTGCGCAAGCGAGGGCGCCACCTCCACAGAGACGAAGCCATCCTCCCCCCCACTCTCCACATACAACGGCCTGAACACATCAAGCGCATCTTGGATATCCTTCACGACTAACGACCAATAAGCGGATTCCGCCGTCGATCCGTTCTGGATCAACTGCGCAAATTGATCGTCGTAATCGGACGTACCCGAGATGGACTTCTGAAAAATCGTAGGGTTGGAAGTCACCCCTCGGACCCCCTTATCTATCCAATCCTTTAACCCGCCATCGGCAATAAAACCGCGGGAAAGGTTATCAAGCCAAGGGCTCTGACCTTCCAGTTGGAAAAGCTGTTGAAGCTTCGTCTTCGTCCCGATCTCGGTCTCCGCGGGTGCTGCCTGAGAAGCCGCCGCTGCCGCCGCCGCCGCCGGCGGTGGCGGCGGAGAAGAAGCAGAGGAAGAAGAAGAAGAAGAGGGTTTAGAGATGGCCATCGGTATTGCCGACGGTGAAGATCGGTGAGCAGATCGGAAGCGGGGGGGGAAGGAGGAGATTGACAGACCGCTCGATAGAGATCGGCGGGACAGAGAACCACCTCCCCCTCCCAATGCTGCTAACCCTGAGGAGGACAAAGGAGGAACTGTTCGCAGGATCGCGACCATCTTCCGAGTTGCCGCATTATGAGTTGGCGTCGGGATCGAAACCTCCACCGCCGTCGCCGCCGCCGCTGCCATAGATATCGACGCTGCTGCCGCCATTCTTGCCTTTACCCTGATCAATTTGTTTTATTTTTTTCTCGCAAAAAACTGCAGAATAACAACGGGAAAAAATGACAAAAAATGACGTGTATACCAAGTGGTTTAACGAAAATGACGCTTCCGATTTCCATACTCCCTTTTTTTCTTTTTTTGGATTTTTCTTTTTGGAGAGAGAGAGAGTCTTTTTTTTTTTCTTTTCAGAGTTTTTTTGGTCAAAACGAAATCCAAACAGAAAATATTTTCTCCTGATTACGACCCTCGTGTAAATTGCACAACAACAACGAAACAGCCAACGAGGTATATCGACGGTTTCACGAAATAAATAATGGCATTTGTCCGTTTCTTATTTCGTCTAATCTTCCCGCCATTCTCGAAAACGAACAGACCAAAAAAAAA